CACGCTTTATGTAGGGTCTAGAAAAATATGTTAAATTCCCCTTCTTGTGCAGGGTCTAGAAAAAACTTATGTATAAAATCCAAGACTTGTCTAGGGTCTTAAAAATCCATGTTGGTTGTTAGAAAAATATTTAAAAAAATTCAGGAAAAATAATCACTTATAGCTCTGGTGGCGTATACGTACCGATAACAATTATACGGTCCAAATGACATTTTCTTACCATTTTTATGGCTTTGTTCAAATGAGCTTCAATATTCTGTGATAGATAATAAGGTAAACAAAATTACTCACCAAACTACGTCATTACTAATTCCAAAAGACGTCGTGAAGTTTGGCCGGATTGAACTTTGTATACCCATTCACATGAAGTCATTCAAAATAACATCGATCGGAATTTGGGACTATGGAGGAAGATTTGACAACCAATAAATATTTATATAGGGCTTAAAAATAATCTATAAAAACTTATGTAGAAAATCCTCCATGCTTGTCTTGGGCCAAAAAAATATTTTTATTAAATCCACGCCTCGTTGTTGCTTGAAAATTTTGATTTTAAAAAGCTAAGCATTGTTAGCTGAATGACTGAAAAATATGAAAAAAAACTTCATGCCTTTTTTTACCCTTACAGCTCTGGTGGCGTATACGTAGCGACAACAATTATACGCCCCAATGTACCAAATGACATTTTCATACGGTTTTTATGTCTTTGTTAAATCGAGATTCAATATTCTATAGAACTCTAATATTTAAAAAATGACCCGCCAAATTAATCCATGCTTTGTCTAGAGTAAAAAAATAATCACTTATAGCTCTTGTTACGTATTCGACAGGCACTTTTTTACGTGTTTGTTGTGATTTATTAAAATTTTAAAATATAGACATGCTTTCGTGTCACTTTTGACCGGTTTGAGTTTTTATTATTTTTAAATCTTCGTAAAAAAATAAAAAAACATAATTTGTTAAAATATTTTTTTTTTGTATTTTTTTAGCACACCCAACAACATATTAATCGCAATTTAATGAGCGGATTTCTTCATCAACATTTTGGCGCTGAATATGAACCGGTTATAACGTTTGTGGATTCACCACCAAATTCTGAAGAATCTTGGCCGGGTAAGTTTTGAATTAAATATATATATATATATATGTATATACATATGTTATACAAATAAATATATAATTTAATTTAAAAATATAACACCAAATTGATTATCAATTTTGTAATTGGATGAAAAAAAAATTTGCTATTTTCTAACTCGTGTAAGTTATTTCACAAAATTAGCAACTCTAAATAAATAAATTTATTTAGCACAATTATTTATTTCGTATAATTTTTTTGTGGCGGCTATTACAAAGCGATATGCTCGATTAAAAAATGATATATAGCTTAAGCTATATAAAAATGTAAATTAATATCCATTATCACATTTTTTCGATATTTCCTGAACATGCTGCAAAGAAGAATTACCAAATATATTTGGCAAATTCAGTACCAAATGACGTTGCTGATGTGATTTTTTGTGTTGACACAATAAATCGGTTATACCTTCAAGAGTTGCTGAGATTTTTGTTTGAAATTTTAGAGGGACATTCTTCAGATGTTATAGCTTCAAATGAAATAAAAATAACAACATTGAGTTTTTGGAACCGATAATGGGTAGTGGTTCCTCTTAAGAAAAATATCTCAAAATTTGATTCTTTTTTATACCCTTCACCACACTGTGGTACAGGGTATTATGTCTTTGTGCATATGTTTGTAACAGGCAAAAATAATCGAGATAGACCCATGGTTCCTTTTGAGAATATGCATAGAATCTCTTTCTGAGTCGATTTATGTATGTCCGCCTGTCCGTCCATCCATGTATTTTTGTTAACAAAGTACAGGTCGCATTTATGATCCGATTTGGATGAAATTTGGCACAGGTCATTTAATTGTACCAAGGACGAACCCTATTGAAATTGGAAAAAATCCGTCCATGTTTAGGCTCCCCCAATTTTCGGTATTTTGAGGTTATTTAGGGCGTTTTTTAACTGAATTCGCTAAAATTTGGTACTTTGAGTTTTTATTGGGTAGCTAATCTCCCTACTAAAAATTATAAATATAGGTCCATTTTTTCGGATAGTCCCCATATAAGGGTACCCCCAATTTTCGGTATTTTGGGAGGTTTGATCGCATTTTTCGACCGAATTCGCTGAAAATTGGTACTTTGAGTTCTTATTGGGTAGCAAATCTCCCTACTAAAAATTATAAATATAGGTTCATTTTTTCGGATAGTCCTCATATAAGGGTACCCCCAATTTTCGGTATTTTGGGGTTCTTTAGCTCGTTTTATAACCGAATTCGCTGAAAATTGGTACTTTGAGTTCTTATTGGGTACCAAATTACTCCACTACAAATGAGAATAAATATAGGCCCAGTTTTTGTGGTAGTGCCCATATAACGGTACCCCCAAATTTTTGGTATTTTGGGGGTTCTGATCGTATTTTTCGACTGAATTGACTGTAATTCAGTACGTTGAGTTCTTATTAGGTAGCAAATCTCTCCACTATAAATTATATTCGTTCGGTATTAATATTCGTCTCCTTTTAGGGGTAGTCCACATATAACCCCCTTTTTATACCCTTCACCACACTGTGGTACAGCGTATTGTGTCTTTGTGCATATGTTTGTAACAGGAAAAAAAAATAGAAATAGACCCATGGTCCCTTTTGAGAATATGCATAGAATCACTTTCTGAGTCGATTTATGCATGTCCGTCCGTACATGTATTTTTGTTAACAAAGTACAGGTCCCATTTATGATCCGATTTGGATGAAATTTGGCACAGGTCTCTTAATAGGCCCAAGAACGAACCCTATTAAAATTGGAGAAAATTGGTTCAGATTTAGATATAGCTCCCATATATATTTTCGTCCGATTTTAACTTATTGATGCACCAAACTCCCAATAGTGATCCGATTGAGAAAAAAATTTTGCACAGAGTATTGAATTAGGTCTAGATAGTTATTATTATTGAAATAGGTTTAGATTTAGATATAGCTCCGATTTATACTTTCGTCCGATTTTATGTAAATAGTGCACCAAACTCCCAATAGTGGTCCGACTAAAACAAAATTTTGCACAGAGTACTGAATTAGGTCCCGACTGATGTATGTGAAATTTTGTTGGATTCGGTTCAGATTTAGATATAGCTGCTATATATAGATTCGTCCCATTTTATGTAAATGAAGCTCCATACTGTCAATAAAATATCAGTAGAGGCCCTTGAGTCATTTTCTATGATAATCATGAATGATTCGTGCCCTCATTCAGACGGCAAATATATGCAGCTCAACCAAATTGGCTGTAGTTTGGGTTCTCATAGAGTAGAAAATATTTCTACCATAAATTATTTGTACCATTATTAGTTTCCGGATAACTCCCACATAATGGTAATCACCATTATTCGATATTTGGGCACATTTTTCAATCGATTTTGTTTTAATTAACTTTTAATAAAAATAAAAATCGATTTTCTGAAACCGAGAATGGGGGGTTCAAGAAAAAAAATCTGAAATTTTGATTTCCTTTTCCGGATAGCTCTTACATAATGGAAACCTCCATTATTCGGTATTTTGGGTGAGGTAAAGGAGGCTCCGGTTTTTTTTTCGTTATGACAAAAAATGCCTCCGAGCCTCAGGGAGATTTCTTTCTATACGAAAAATATACAACTGATGATCTGAATTTTTTTTCTATAGAAATGAGGCTCCGACGGTTTTTTTTTCTATATGAAAAAAAAAATAAAAACTCAGTGATAACTAAGGCTTCGAGAAAAAATGGCTCAGTGGTGACTGAGGCCTCATTGGTAACTAAGATTCCGAGATTATTTTTTATACAAAAAATACCTCAGTGGTAACTGAGGCTCCGAGATTTTTGTCTATACGAAAATCTGCCTTAGGGATAATTGAGGCCCCCGGATTTTTTCGAAAAAAGCTTCAGGTATAACTGGGGCCCGGGATTTTTTCTATAGGAAAAAAATCCCTCAAGGGTAAATGAGGCTCTGAGATTTTTTTCAATATGAAAAAAAATGCCTCAGTGGCATCTGAGGCTCTGAGATTTTTTCTATACAAAAAGTAAAATGCCTGAGGGTAACTAAGGCTCTGAGATTTTTTTTCTGTACGAAAAAAATGCCTCAGTGGTGAATGAGGCTTCGGGATTTTTTCTACACGAAAAAAGCCTCAGTGGTAACTGACGCTCTGAGATTTGTCTATACGAAAAATAGGTAAATGGGGGTAAATGATGCCTCAGAGCTAATTAAGGCTCTGATATTTTTTTCTATACGAATAAATGCCTTAGATAATTGAGGCCGGTTATACCAAAAGCATGCCTCATATAACTGAGGTCGACGATTTTTTTTCTATACATTCTTTTTGTACAGAAATAAATTCCCCTGTGAATAATTTAAATTTCTTCTTTATGAATACAAATATTTTTTGACACTGAGACCCAATTGCATACTTTAATATAGATTATCTTGACCTTAGAGTCTCATAATCCGATCCGAATATTCGATTTGATCCAAACTTTGTACATCGTAATATTTTTCCCAAAACAATTTTAAGTTCGAAGATGAGATATACAAATTTCTCGAATCCGACACATATAGTTCAAATACTCTGAAGTGGAAGAAGACTTTGGACATTCTATATTTTAACAGCGCAGATCCTATTTTTATCAATAATTTAGATTTTACAGCCTTAGAATATTTCCTACCAAAATTTTCAAATTTCATCTTTCCAATTTCCCGATTTTTCTTTGCTATACAAAATTTTGAAATAATTTTTAATTTAATTTTAATTTTTAAATATCTTTTTATTTTTTATCCGGCAGACGATCAATCGAAGGGCTCACCAGGACCACAAATAATTGACGTCCAAACTATCTATTCTCAAAGTGGTTCACGTAAAAGGCGAATGGATTGGGATCCATTGGATTTGGGACAGAGTGAAAGCAATGCTTCTCCACCAACTGTTGAAATACCAAATAAATTAGCGGGACATCCATTGGCCGCCGATGCTAAGGATAAAGGCTATAAAAGGGAGAAATTGAGTAATGGTAAGTGGTACAAAAATGATTTTTTTCCTCTATAAAGATTTAAAAAAATGCAAAACGCTATTTTTCCTGAAAACAAAAAAAAAACCCTTTGCTTATTCAGCCCAGCTGAATTAGGTTTTTTTTTTTTGAGATTATTATACAATTGTTAGAATTTAAGTATTATTGTCATATGTTGTTGTTGTTGCTGTCGTTTTTTCATTCTGCCTGATTTGATTTTCTTCCCCATTTTGATAATCTAAAATGTCTTGGATTTTGGGGGTTTGTTATTCGCCTTTTTTTAGGTGGTTATCTCGTTGAGAGTCACACAGAGACACAAACGCTCACACACATCAATGTAGACACCCTCTCAGACGGTAAACAATAGAGAAAACAAGTTAACGATAAGACATTTATTTATATGTTTGTTTGTATGTTTGTCAGTTTGTTTTTGCTTTATTATTTTGTTTGGTACATAATTATTATTATTTAAATACAAATAACAATAGAAATTGTTATTTTATTTCTTTTTTGTATTATATAATATGTTTTTTATATAAGAACCTCCCCTATTAAGCCATAGGAAACCCTATTCATAGAAAATCCTATTGAAACCCTAATTCAGCCAGGCTGAATAAGTGTTTTCCAATTGAAAACCACTATTCAGCCAGGCAGAATAAGTGTTTTCCGATAGAAACCCCTATTCAGCCAAGCTGAATAAGTGTTTTCCTATAGAAAACCCTATTCAGCCAGGCTGAATAAGTGTTTTCCTATAGAAAACCCTATTCAGCCAGGCTGAATAAGTGTTTTCCTATAGAAACCCCTATTCAGCCAGGCTGAATAAGTGTTCTCCTATAGAAAACCCTATTCAGCTAGGCTGAATAAGTGTTTTCCTATAGAAAACCCTATTCAGCCAGGCTGAATAAGTGTTTTCATATAGAAAACCCCTATTCAGCCAAGCTGAATAAATGTTTTCCTATAGAAAAACTTATTCAGCCAGTTTAAATAAATGATTTCTTAAATAAACCCAGCCATGCTGATGTAATTCTCTTTGTTTTCGTAGCAAAATCTTATCAGGCCTGTAGTCTGAAGTGGCTACATTTTGCCCCGAACATTCTGTCATTATAACAGCTGCACGTTTTCATCCAAACAGCAATACGTAACTGAGCGTGGCCAAAACAT